ACTGGAATCCAGTATTTAGGGCCTAGAGGATTTTTCAAAGAGTGTGGGCTAGAACTTGGATGTTTCCCGGCTCTCTGAGCTACCTTATAAAGTAAGCAAGAAGATGGAAGTGCTAATTCAGGGGAAGAATTTTTAGGAAATGGGAGTAGGGCATTAAGAAAATGCCAACTAGACTGTTTATCTTTACGGGAAAGTCCATAAATAGGAATAAGACTCTAACATTTCTATTATAAAAATGTTTGTGTTTTTTAACAGATGACTACCATGAGCATAAAATAAACAGAACAAAGAAGTATTTTACTTCAAATAGTGTGAATAGAAGTTCATAGAGGATTATAACTTTATTTTGCCACTAATTCAAAGAAGAAAACAGCCTGGATAATTAAATAACCATGTTGAAAGCTGGATACATTTTAAAGTCATTAACAAAAATAAGTTCTCTGAAAATGATAAAAGACTTTCCAAACCAGAAATAGATTAATCTTAGCAAGTGTACTCACCATGCATTTTAACATATAACTTCAATTAATCTGGAGAAAAATTCTTGAACCTCATAACTCTTACAATTATAGAGGAAATAGCCTTGAAAGACAAATATGTACAATGAACCTTAATTTTATTGGTTGATTGAACCTGAACTGTGTTGTCTTTGTAGACTTTGAAACAATACAAACACAAATGTGAACTGCTGTTTAGCCTTTGCTTACAATTGACTATTACTGAAATAATGACCACCTTCAAATCTTTTCTTCTGAGCACAGTATTTCTGGAGTTTTTTCAGTCCTCTAATGTATACAGGACTGTAACATATAAAGCTTTCTATTCTGGATTTATATTTACTCTAAACATGTTATGTTATTAAGACCTATTTACTGCAATGTTTTCTAGTACATTTTGCATTTTAAAAAGTATAACAAAATAGAACAGACATTGTGTCTCTTAAAGTAAATCCTTGTATCTCAAATTAATCAGTCTCTCTGAATGTTTAATAACAGTGGTTGTATCTAATCTCAGTCAAGAGCTACAAATGAGTCACACACATTTATATAATTTATCGGACTCTATTAAAACACGATTTTTTTTATACAGATATGTGTTTAAATAAGATAAAGGTTTCAGTAGTTACAAACAGCCAGTTTACTGTAGCATTAAATCCAAGCCACTGATGAAAGGAATTGGACTGCCTCTAACGTAACTCAGAGGAAAAAAGAATCAAGATTAATTTTTAGTTCAGATCTTTGATCTAGTCCTTTATACAACAGAAATGGTTGTGCCAACCCAAGGGAGAAGGTAGGTACCAACAGCAAGAGAAGGTGACAGCATCTGCTTCTGTAGCAGGGTGGATTTGTGAGATTTAACTGACCATGTAAATACAGCCTTAAAAATGAAACTTGCTGGCTGGAAGAGTCTGTTTCCTCAAATAGATTAATGATTTGTTTATACCAAGTTAAGCCACAAGGGAATCCTTAACAGGCTGTGTCTGCTTTCCGGGTAAAAGATGGCTCCACCTATTCATGTAATAGAAGCATTAGCATTTGTAAAAATCTGAATGTGATAGAAAACAATCTATTAGGACAAAATTAAAGTTAACACACTGATTAAGTCAGAATTCACAGAAATTTGTAGAGGGGAAGGAAACAGAATCTCACTACAAAGGGAGCATGAGGGAAAGTTTTAGGTCTAAAGGTTGGATGGGTCCCCAGATCTTCATTCTCATCCACAAAGACAGGCCTAAGGAAGTATAGTGTGTATAAAAACCACACTCCTAGATAGATCTCTTAGCAAATAGATAGCTGAGTAATAGAAAAAGAGAGAAATCTCTAAATTTTTCTAGGCTTCATGTAGAAAATGCAGGTAATTTTAACTTATTGTAATGTTATATATTGTGTAAATACACTTATTAAAGGTTAATTAAATGGCAAATGTTAAGGAATTTCATTCCTACTAGTGCTGTAATATTTTAAAACTGTGGCAACTGCTCAGGATCATAGAATATTTCTTAGGCCTATCCAAAGAAAAAGAGCACTGATCTAGGATGCCATGCTAGGCAGACTGGAAGTTGGCAAAGCTGCTGTGAGACAGAGAAATTTTGTGATTATCAACATCAGAAGTCTTGTGATTATTAACATTAGAAGTCTTGTGATTATTAACATTAGCCAGAGGCTCCCTGCATATAATATGATGGTGGGGAGAATGTGTGAACCCTGAGGATTCCCCATGGAGTCTCTTATGATAGCATTCCAGTTAAATCAGTATGTGGGGGCACCTGCTTCAAATAACTGAAAGAAGCAAGTCCAGCACCATTGCAATAAGCTAACGTTAATTCATTTAATATTAATGTCATTTAATGTTAAAACCTGTATTTCTTGCTCAAGTAAAAGAAACTTTCCTTGAATTTGGATAAAATTCTTTATTATATTTTTAAAGGTGCATGTTATACTATCTTGAAGAAATCAGATTCTTCTCTGTAGTTTTTCAATATTTTCATTTGTCTCACATTTTCATTTCTTATATGTTCAGAATTCCTGGAGACTTCAGCATCCGCAACCATTCTTTGATTTTTCTGAGTTATTCTTAATGTGTAATAGGCTCCAAGTTCTCATAGAACTGCAGATGAAGGTAAGAAGGTATTAAGAAACCACATTTACCTTTTGACACTGTGAGTGTCAAATGTTGCACTTGTATAATTAGCAGTTGATTTCTACCTTATACACAAACCCTACATCACTACAATAACAACATTCAGTGTTTTTATAGCTGGATAGGAAACTTAAATATTAATAGGTAGCAATAAATCAGCATAATGTCCACTGATTGGACATTAAGATATGCCAAAGTTTTGGCATTGGCATACAAAAATGGGTAAGGCGTGAACTGCAGAACTGAAAGGCTGTACAGTAAATAATACATCAATATGACATATTCTACCTGCGTGGGTTTTCTGCATCTGCTCCCCAGTTTTAGAATATTTCTTTGGTTTTGCACAACCAGAGAATGCCAAGTCAGTGCATGTTAGACCTTTTCTGTTACTGTTCTGCCTTACGCGGCCTTAGCTTTTTATGGGAGTTGCCTCTACTGAGGCTTAACTGGGAATTTAACAGGTAACTCAAAAAGGCTGATTTAGCCTCATTTTTTAGCATTTGGCAAAGCCTGGGCACAAAGAGTACTTTAGTGCTGGAATAACGCATCTCACAAATGATGAAGATCTCATGTACTAAGTGAAAAATATATCCCCTAATGAACATATGCCAGGAACTGTTTGGATCTAGATGTAACAGGAACAAGACATTTAGATCCTTACCAGCCATATGGGAGACCCACATTTCACAATTACTCCCAGCCTGTCATTCCAAGGGTTGGCATAGAGCACTGGATGAAGTAAGGGCTTGCGATTATTCAGCAAAATGTTAAACTGTTTGCTCTGTGGCATCCTCTTGTGTAGCTGTTCCATTTCATGTCTGTAATCAAGCTAAACTCATGCAAATCACTGAACTGTAGTGGGAGGTGATGCAGAAAGTGCAGCCATCTGGGTCTCCTGAAGAGGAAGAGAAGAAAACCTCCATACCATGAGAGTCACTGGCTGTTTTTAAAACCAGGATTGTTTTTACAGGAGTGCCAAATCTTACTAATTAATTTTCAGATTTATACTTCAGGGTCACTCTGGCAGTGATTATATTATTCAAAAATCAGCCACAGACACATCTTTCTGTAAAAGTAAGCCCTGCCAAAAAATGGCAGCTTATCCTTACAGTAGTATTTTTGTGACCAATCTTTTCATCAAAGCTGCCTTCTGCACTGAACACCCAAAGACATAATGTGCTACATTCATCTCATTTTATGCCCACACCATGGCATAATATTTGTGCCCAAAGTCTCACAGACAAAAAGCATCAGAACTGGAAACTCCCAGCTTCTGACTTTGACTCCCCATAGGCCTTCTGGGTCTCATAGGCCTCAAGGACTCCATAGGCCCTATACGCCACATAGCCCCCACGCTAAAAGGAGTCACAATCAAGTCACAAAAACAAGAAGGCTGGACAAAAATCAAACTTTGCATAAGAAAGGGCTATTTTATTTGAAGTTAACAGTGTTCCCACAAATTTCAATTGGACTGAGACTTCCCACAGTGCATGAAGGGTTGAGAAATCCTCTGGCGAAGAAGAAATTCATAACTTTTCCCTCACTTTATGGCACTAGCGTAGAATCATAGAGTGGCTTGGGTTGGAAGGGACCCAGATAATTAAAGATAATCCAGTTCCAACCCTCTTGCCATGGCAGGTTGCTCAGAGCCCCATCCAACTTGGCCTTGGACACTTCGAGGCACAGGGCAACCACAGCTTCCCTGAGCAACTTATTCTCTGCCGCACCACCCTCATAGTAAAGAATTCCCTTCTGTGTGTTAACATGGGCCCAGGCAAACGCCCCTTCCTTATTTCGAAGGAAAGACTCCTCTTTTTTTTTTCTTTTTTTTAAGGCTGCAACAAGCCTACAGCTGTTTTTAATACCCTGCCCAGTGAATGATAGGAGCCTGTTCGCAATCAACGACACACGTTTTTTATTAACTGACTTCTCCATAATTGTCCCCAGACAGCGCCCGAGCGCCTTCTGGCAGACAGGAGCGGAACCCGGGGGTGGCTGTCGGCTCCACGAGGCCCGCACGGCCCTGGAGCGGGAAGACGGGCCGGGACAGCCCCGGAGGCTCGGGGCGGGCACGGCCAACGCGCTGAGCGCCGACCGGCGGGGCGGGGGCTCCCCGCCTTCGCCCCCTCCGCCCCGCCTCGCCCCCTCTCAGCTGCTGCGTTCGACTCCTTCGAGCAGCGGCGTGAGCGGCTTGTGCGGCGGCAGCTGCCTGCCCGGCCGCCCTGCCCGCTGACAGCCGTCGTCTCTCGGCGGCCGCCGGTGCCCGAGGCAGCGCTTGCCTCGCCGTGCCGAGCCCCGGGGAGCCGGCGGCGCGGCTGCAGCGGCAGGCGGGGGAGCGCTCCTCGCCGCTCCGCCTCCGACCGCCGCCCGCTGCGGGGATGTGTGATTGCCATGGCGAGGCGGCTCTTCCCGGGGGCCTGGCTGAGAAAGCCCCACTCCGCGCAGGTAGGCCGGCGAGGGGCCGGTGCCGGCGCCCGTCTCTCCCCGCCAAGTTCCCTCCGGAGCGGGCGCCCCCCGCAGGGCTCTCGCCGCTCCCCCCGGCCCGGCGCGGCCGCCGCTCCCTCCCGCCGGCGCCTGGCGGCGGCCGGGGCTCGGCCCGCGGGCGGTGGCGGCTCCGGGGCTGGGGCGGGTGTTGGGGCACCAGAGCAGGTGGCGGCGGCCCCCGGGCCGCGGTGTCTCTCGCCGCCCCCGCCGGGCGGGTCGGGCCTTGGCGGTGCGCGGAGCGCCCTCCCCGAGCGCCGCGGGACCTGTTACGCCGCGGCCGGTCCGCGATGGCCCCGCGCTCTCGGGGGATTGTCAGCGGGGCAGCCACACCTGCGGCACCGCCGGGCCCGGGGAGCCCTCTCCACGTCCCGCCTTTACACCTATCGCCGCTGCCGCGGGCACCCGTCCTGTCAGCGGGGGGAATAGAGCAGACTCATTTTTTCACGTGTTCTAAAAAAATTGGTGTCGGGCACTTTTCTTCTGCTGCCCAGTAGGTAATTGCTCCATGCATTGTGTGTGTGTTCGTAGACAGACTTCTGTATTTACGTATACAAGTACACGTTTGCATTACTTAAGTTACCTGAGTAGTGACGTATTGGTTGGAAGTGCTGTATCTGTCGTGTAGTGGAAAGTTCTGCTGTAAAATGTCAGTCAGATATGACCCTGTGGTTTCTTGATAGGTGTCCTCTGGGTTTCCTTTTTATCGATTGGATAGTATTTTAAATAAATTGTAACTAAAATGAGTATTTGTTAAGTTGGAGCAGAGAAATATTTACTTATATATGCTACTTACGTGTTCATCATCTGTTGATATGCTTCGTGACCATTGTATTAAAAGAATTTATACTTTGTTTTGATGCATTTTAAAATCTTGAATGTTTTAGTTTCTTCTTATCTGGAACTTTTCCAGTCTTACTCTGGTTTTGGAAGTGCCCAGAAGAGGGTATAATGTTTAAGGAAAAGCATGCCGATATAGTATAATCTTACCCTCTTCAGTATTTGTTTTATGGTACATATCTGCAAATCTGGGTCAGTACTACTTGGGCTTTAGACCGGAAAAGATTACTGTAGATCTATTTACTGAATTTACATTTGTAAAGCATTTGGATTCCTATAGCGGAAAGCCTTCAATACAAGTAAAAATGAATTTGTAATCTATATACTACCATTCAAATTAGGGTTTTCCAAATTGTTTGCCTCCTTGCCTTGATAACCTCTCTCTGATCATTATATGGGGATGTCTGATTACATTGTTCTCTTTTCTTCTCAAAATTTAATTTAAGGCCTTCCAAGCAAAATACGTTATTTTGAGGTCCACTGAGAAACAGGAAGACAGCGAAATTATTTATTAGAAAAGCCAAAGAAGCTAAATTTTTGTTTCTATTGCAGATTAAAAAAATATTTCTGACTGTGCTTTTTTATACTGGAAGCTGCTTTTGAATATTCTACAGATTTGTTTTAGGAGATCTAAAATAGTGGTTTTGTGAACATAAACATATTTTTCTGTGTTAGTGTTAGCTGCTATGTTGATGTTTGATGTATCTGTGGAATGGCAGCAAGCTATCAATATATTGGCTTCTCTTGTCACTGCACATTACTGTTGGTGCTTGACAAATGTAGTCATGGTTTAACTGCACTAATTGCTGAGTGCTTTATGGGGATTTGTCTCTAAAGAAGCCAGTGCTCTCTAAGTAAATGTTAGACTTAACTCACTGAGGCCTCTGAGCAAGATAAAAGATTTGTGTAGTATTTCTATGCAGCATTTCAAGTAGCACAGTGGGGAAGGTGTTTGTACAGTGGAAGGTTATCACTGAGTGAATTCCAGCTTTTGATGGCTGGTGTTCCAGACTCCTAGAAAACTGTTGTGAAATGTCTTGACAGAACATCAGGTTCTGTGAGACAAAATTTAATACCTGTTCTGGTTTTTCTGTTGTACTAGGAGCAGGATGTTATGAATTGGTTTGCAACAGATAGTCTGTGGCAAATTTACTTGCTCTTCAGCTTTTATGCAGAATGCTAGATCTGTAGGTAATGTAATAATAGCAAAAAATACCCAAAAATACTGTAAAAACTGACAAACTTTTGAATGCTACTAAAGATCACAAAAAAGTAATCTAATTATATTTATAGGATTTTTCAGTTGGGTGATTAACACTGGGATTTTGTGTTTTATAAAGAGAGATTAGTGTCCCAAATTTAGGAGACATTGACCTGAAGTTCCTTCTGATAGCTGTAGTTACCAATTGTATTGTGAGGCAGAGGACAAGCCAGCAGGGTTGCTCACGACAGTAATCATGTAAAGAGCACTTGCATGCTTGGAAACTTTCTGGCCTCTAGAGGTTCAAGTTTTCAGACTCTTTAGAAGTGCCCCATGGACTTAAGTAATGTACAAGAGACTGTCTTTGAAGGGCCAAAGAATAAGCAAGTTTAAAGCCACACATAACAGAAATTTCCTGTATCATCTCTTTGCTTTAAGATTTTAATCCGTTTTGTTTAACCTTTTAAGGAGAGAGATCCCATTTTCCGTCTTGATCACTATTTTATTTCAAAAGATACCTCAGCTCTGTTTACTCAGTTTAGTTACTCAGGATACAAAATAATTCAAGACACTGGCATAATCTTAAGAATTCACTTGTGCTCTTAAAGATGTGAACATGTCCATTACATGGCATCCAAGACAGTGTGGGCTAATGCTCTCAGACATCATGTCAGCATACCTGAAGTGCATCCCGTGATCCACAAACCAACCTGAACAGAGAACAAAAGAGGATTTCTAACATGATTGGCCTCCATTTTTTTATCAGTCCTTTTTTGTTGCTAGTGTGTAAAACAAATGGAGTAAACAGCTCTGATTTGGAGGAGATAAGTGCACTATGGTTATCTGGAATACTTTGCAGAATTAAGCTCTCTGTACTACTAAACAAAGAAATGCTTTCATACTCTTTAACCATAAAAGTGTTTTAAATAAAAAGTACACTTAACAAAAAACTGTCAAGTTATGTTGCATGTTGATTCACTACTCTCCATATGCTTTGGAGTTCATCCAGGCTTGAGTTTTGCCAGAAGTGGTTTTCCAGTTCTATTTCAGGGGATGAATGTCTAATTATTATTCAATGCACATGACTTAGCAGAATATACAAGTGATGGAAGAAGTTGACTCTGAAACATCAAGCATTACAAGTGCTTTCCCTCATTCTTGTGTTCCCTGGCTCATATTTAAGCGTCTTGGTGGAAGAGTGAAGTTGAAAAGAGAAATTGTTTCCTGAGTTTGAACACTTTCTTCCTTTTTGATACTTTTGGAACTCTGTCCTCCCGTTGCCCTGAATATGTTCTTATTACAAGTTTCCTAGCAGTTTGTCACGATTTCAAATGGAGTCTGTCTGTATGTGTTGCTCCCTAAATGCAACACTGGGACTCCTTGCTCAGAAATGTGTTCCAGTGACGTGCATGGCATATGTGCAGTGAGTCCTCTGCACTGTGGGTGCATTAGTGCACGTGACCAAACCAGGCTCGGTAAATCCTGTCCCTGCTGCACATGCAGCACGTGCACATGCTGGATGAAGTGGACTAAGTGTGTCTACACTCACAGGCTGATTGTGGGGAGGAAATAGAAATTGGATAGGAGGAATGTATGGGAAGAAATCAAATAATGAACAGTCCTTTTGCTGAATGTGATAAGGAAGTCCTTAGAAAAGTAATTCCCCTTGAATCAGAGAGTGAAAGCTTGTGGTTGTCTGTAAGCAGATGAATGCTGTTGTCCATGCTCTGAACTGGCAGAATGGCTTTTGCAAGTCAAAAGCTACACGACTGCATTGGCACAGTGCTGAGCTCAAAATAAACCTTGCTTCTCTGGAACTTCTTGCCAAATATGTAATGTAGTCAGATGGCATTTGGGAAGGATTTTCTGTCTCAAACGCATTTGATTTCTGCCTGAGAAGGAGGACAAATTTGGATAAACCCATATATACATTATTCTGTACAAAAATATGGTCGATATTCTGCAGTGGTCCTGAAGCCTGCAGGCCACTGCTGGTCTCTGAGGTTGTACTAAATGGTATGTGATTAATACAGATTTGCATTAAATAGCACATTGGTTTAAAGTTTAGTGTTATAAAGGTTCATGGAAAGTTTCAGCAAGAAACACTGAGAAACGTAGAGGGTTTGTTGTCCCTGAAGCTTGGGTTCCCAAGCAGTTTTTATATGTGAAACAGCTTTGCCTAAAATTATCAGATGTATTTCTTTTTATCTTCCCTGGATTTTATCAGTAGTTTTCTGTGCTTTATGTTCTACCATATAATAGGGTTATTAGAAATAGTTTTAAAAAATGCAAAATAACAAAATCCCGTCTCTAAAGGAAATCGCTGTATCTTATCTTTCAAATAATCAAAGATAATCATTAGCACTTATTTTCTATAATTCCTGATTCTATGAATCAGGAATTCCCCTTATTTATGTGTAGGGGAAATACTGAAGAAAGTTAACTTATTAGGATTTTCAGTAATCCTATTAAGAGAAGACTTTTGTAGAGAAAAATTTTGTGAGAAGCTTCAGGAAGACCATTCTTTCTTGATCTCAGCAGCTCTAGGCTGAGGAAAGACCATGAGAGGTTGGGTGGGAAGGAAGAGGACTTACCTGAAACTGTAAACACCATCCGTGTTGTGTGAGTTTTGTTGGTGTTTGGTTTGTGTATTTTTGGTGGTTTTTTCCTTGGGTGGGGAGAGAGGGGGTGTTGTTCGTGTGGCATTTTTTGTTAGATTATGGTTTCTTTTTCTCTCCCCTGCCTCCCTCCCCAACGCCCTGCCTGAAATTTAGATCTAATACCATAAGCTGTTAAAAAACATACCTCCTTTTCAGGTTAGATGCTCAAGAGTTTTGTTGCTGGAGTTCTGTGTGTGTGATGGTTGTGTTTGGGGTTTATTTTACGAAATACAGGATGAACCTTTGTCTGAGATTAGGTTCACAACAATGCACTGGTGGCATATATTTAGATGGAAAATAGAATGTTTTAGATTAGCTCTGTGACAATTTAAAGGCAAGAAATTAAGGATGGTTTGAGTGAGGCCATTCTCATTTCAGCCTGGCACATCTTAATTGTACTTGCTCAGTGCTGTGGAGTTGGCTGGGTAGTCCAAGATGCCCCTCTTAGTTTACTGTATCTACAGCTAAAGAGGCAGAGTGAGCATGTGCCCATACCTTAGCTGCTCCAGCTTGTTATTTGTTTGACTACTGGAAATTTCCGGTGAAAACAATTTTTTTTCCTGCAAATAGTGATGCAGAGTATGACACCTAACTGTGTGTGCTTCTACAGAGTCTGGCATGTGGTGGTAACCTTTGACAGAGGATTTGGGTAAGGGAATGGAAGTGGAAATAATAGGTAGTTGCTTGCCTAGTCAACTAGATGTCAATCCTGATAAAAAGATGGGCACAAAAAACCTCATGATTAAACATGCCTTCTTTGCATAGTTATCAAAAAATTGAATATGATCTGATTTTATCAAAATACCGTGCTTTAATGACAAATACCATTTGTACTTTTCTTTAGATGTTTCTGTATCTCATGGTGCTTTTTGCAAAGTAATTCTTTCTTTTTCATGTTGTATCTAGTTACAGAAACATTAGGCCAAAGTAAAAATAGATGAGTGACTCACCTAGTTAGATAATTTCAGGCACTAACTACAGAGCACTTAGTGGTATTATTACTAGGTTGAAACCTAGTGATTCAAAAAATGTTTACGGAACCATGAATTTTTTGGTGATATAAGAAAAAAAAAAGAGAAATTATTACAGAAGACATTGAACCTGCATGACTGTGCTGAAGCAGTTCTTGTTTGTAAGTGCTAAAATTATTCATTTGTAATTCGACCAGCAGAAAGTATGAAGGGAGCAAAGAAAAAGCGAATTGTGTTCTGTAGATGGACTGAGAAGGATCTGGTTGTATGCTCACAACTGATCCAGGTCTACTGCTTTGGTTCACCTCTCAGTTCAAAGCCCCCTCTGCTGGGGAGCTGCCTCTGAGCTGGTATCCTGGGTTTCCTAGAGATCTAGGGAGCAGTAAATCTCTAGGTTTGTTTTGGTGTATTTTGTGTAGTGTGGGTGTAAGAACTAATCTAGGGAAAGAATCCATCTGCCCTGCTTACAGTTTTCCTTTGGTTCTGGAAGCGAGAACAGGGAGAGAGACCCTCTCCTAATGCTTTGCCATACCACCTCTGCTGGCTTCCCAGAGCTGAGAAAGAAGGATGCTTGTGGATGGTAAGCGCATTTGGTACAGGGGCAGGACAAGGATTCTGAAGGAGGAAAGTTGTGCTGGAGAAACTGAAGAAGTGGATGAGGCGCTGAGTAGTGCTGGAAACTTACTGGAGATGGAAGACAGAAAGTGGAGGAAGATGGGAACTGAGGCCAGTGTTGCAGAGTTGGATGAAAATAGACTGGAAATAGCTGGAAGAAAAAGAATAGCAGAGGATGTGTGGTTTGGGAGGGGGACACTAAGACTGTCTAAACAAATGGTTTGAGATGAGTACTGGAAAGAAAAAATTAGTAGGTGACAATTGTAAATTACTAAATACAGAAAATGATCTGGAAGAAAGAATCAATGAGTCTGAGTCCACCTATGCTGGAACTAAGATTTCAGTTCTCTTCTTTAGGGGGTGAGAGCAGTATTTCTGAACCCATAAGTTTTCACCTACTGTTGGTTCACATGTAGGAGTGTGGTCTACAAGGAAGATTGTGATGCTTTGTGTTGTAAGCATATAGGTGTGGTATTTTGTCTTCTTTTTAAGGTGAGGCTAGTACAGAGGAATTTTATTTGCATAATTAAATGGTGCAATTTCAAGGAAGGAGAGGGAGACTTCAGCACATGGAACCTGACCCTGACATCCACCATGCTCTTTGTATATCTGCCTTGCATATTCACACATGAACACAGAATATTTTTTGAAAAAAATCCTGATCTGTTGGATTTGATTTACCATGAGTGGAACAAAAGTAACTGGTCTTAGAGAAAAAGGCATGTGATTGAGCTCTGGGAGTTTATGATTTTGATCAAATTGGTTCCTGCAGTCTGGCTTGCCCTATAAGGGTCTGACACCTTTTCTTCTATTTATTTATATCTCAATTTTCCTTCCATTTACATAAGTCAAACTGACCTCCCCTGTCAGTTTTGCTCCCTGAAGGAAGCGAATGTTCCATGTAATGTAGGCTGCTTATTTTATCACTGTGGAAGTCAAATTCCTTAAAGGTGAAATAGTAAGTCATGTTTACTGCTGCTCAGTGAATTGCAACTCATATTTTCTCTTTGTGTCCTCTAGGTACGTTTGTCGTACGTGCGTGTGAAGTATCTCTTCATCTCTTGGTTAGTAGTGTTTATTGGCAGCTGGGTTATGTATGTTCAGTACTCCACCTACACAGAGCTATGCAGAGGACATGACTGTAGGAAAATAATAGTAAGTATATTTAGCATAGCTTTCTAAAGTGTTTGACTAATTCCACTGCCAATTCAGTCAGTGCCCTGTGTAATTTAATCAAGTTCTCATATTGAATTGTAAGATTACAACTTCAGTTACAGATAAAACCACTTGTGTCAACGTTATTTTGGTGTAGAGTTATTAAAATTGTTTTCTTAGATATTTCTTTCAAGAGTTGGAAGAGATGCAGTTGTTGTCTCCTTTCTCAGGCAATTTATTAAATATATTTCTCCATATTTGTTTCAGTGTGATAAATACAAGACTGGAGTTATTGATGGGTCAGCATGTAGTAGTCTTTGTGCTAAAGAAACATTGTATTTTGGAAAATGTTTGTCAACAAAGCCCAACAATCAGGTAAGGCTTTACTCATCCAACCTAGTTCTGTTATTTCCCACTGAAATGTCATTGTCTGGAACATCAAGAAGACCTTAGTGTCAGCAAGTTGTATCTGTTTAATACAGATTATTTCAAACTTCATTTGCTGTGACATGCAGAGCGTGTGTATGTACATAAAAATATCTATACATGGAAGATATAATACATACTATTAATTTATACAATATGCACCTATATACAATAGTATAGATTATTCCTGTATGTAGAGGCGTATATCATTATTTTATAATAGATGTGTTTTGGAAACATATATACTGGATCCTTCCACAGTTTGACAGAATAAGCATACTTTTGTACCGCATACTGCTGCTCTGCTATCCTGCTTCACAACTAGAAGCAGCAGCCTCATAACAGCCTGTGCACAGTGGCAGTAATGCCAATACACTGTTTGTGAAGCTGTGTTTTGCCAGTGTAGTGTCTCCTAAGTACCTGCAGCAATGTGTTGTATTTGAGGTTGCCATTGGTTAAATTGCTCTATGCATTGTCTGTGCACAGGACTCCGTTTGCTGAGCTGTGTTGCCATTTGACTCCTCAAGCAGTGGCTGGAAGACAGGTAGTCTTCAGGTGGACTTGTACAGTGGTTTTTACATTTTTCCCTCTTTTTCTGCACAGATGTACTTAGGAATCTGGGGAAATCTGCAAAGTGTTATAAAATGCCAGATGGAGGAAGCAGCTCAACTTGACTTTGGTACTGACCCAGAACCAAGGAAGGAAGTAGTCCTATTTGATAAACCAACAAGAGGAACCACTGTTGAGAAATTCAAAGAAATGGTATATGGTCTTTTTAAAGTAAGTATATGCTTATTTATTCTATTTTGACTGAAAGGCTCATTTTCCTGAAGCTGGAGAGAATACCCTATTGTACGAGCCTTGTTCAAGTGCATATTATAAAAATAATCAGCACAAAACTAGTTTTTCCCAGAGGTGCTTACCTTGAAGTTTGAAGTAACTAATTATTAGGTTTTTTCCTTACTTTTTAAATTATGGAAGTTGGCATTCATCTTGCATGTTTACAGCCTTGACTTGTATTTGTATAGAAAATATGGTAAAAACATTTATTTTTTGGTGCTTTTTTGAGATTACTGTTCATTCTTGGGAAGAGTTCCTGTGTTAACTGAGCAGCAGCAATCTCTCTATCCAGAGTGACCAGTCATACTTGTCCTTTCTGTGTTACATTCACGTGATGCTTATTTCTATTACCTTAATGCTACCCCAGAATTTTCATAATATAATCACCTTGATGCTTTGTTAATTCTGATTTGGGGTTTTCTTTCTTAAAATTATCTTGCTATTGTCATAGCTCCTATGTCTCCCATATCTCCTATTTGCCCTTGCATGTGCATTCATGGTAGCTGAAAACGGAACAGTTCTGATTCCAGCAGTGGCTTCTGTGTATTGACACAATCGAGGTGGTTATATCAAATAACATTATTATATCAAATAACAACATTAAGCATTTCAGTACACTTAGGTTATGGGATTTGTACCCAGTGTGTCTTGGTACTTTTTATAGTTGGCCAAAATGTAGTTTATAAAGTAATTTCTCTATACCTGTAAGGTTTAACCAGCTGAAAACTAAACCTTATCTAAACATTTGAATTCTGCATACTCTTTCTAAGAGAATATCGAATAAGCTAGTTGATACAATTTTTCTAAAGACTGATCTGACCAAGAATAATGTTTGATTTTTAATGTTTGCGTTTTGAAATGCAGAGAACACTCGTACTTTCACAAGATCATATGCTTAGTGCCTATTAAAACAGAGCAAAAAGGAAGCTCTTCAGGCATCTGATACCAGGTCCTGTAACATCCATACTCAATGGAAACTAGAACATACACTACCATGCTATTCATACGGGATAACAGGAAGTAGAATGACAGATGGATTGGTGATAGTTAATGAAATCATACTTAATCCTTTTTGCTTGTTGCTTTTAGGCAAAATTGGGTGAACAAGGAAATCTTTCAGAACTGGTTAATCTCATCCTGTCTTTTGCTGATGGAAACAAAGATGGCAGAGTCTCTTTGCCAGAGGCGAAATCTGCATGGGCACTTCTGCAGCTAGAGGAGTTTCTGTTAATGGTGATCCTCCAGGATAAAGAACATACTCCCAAGTTGATGGGTTTTTGCGGGGATCTCTATGTGACGGAAAGAGTTGAATATACCTCTCTCTATGGAATCAGCCTTCCATGGATTATAGAACTTTTCATTCCCTCTGGCTTCAGAAGAAGCATGGACCAGTGGTTCACTCCATCATGGCCAAGAAAGGCAAAAATAGCTATAGGGCTTTTAGAATTTGTGGAAGATATTTTTCATGGACCTTATGGAAACTTTCTTATGTGTGATACAAGTGCCAAAAACTTGGGATATAACGATAAATATGATTTGAAAATGATGGACATGAGAAAAATTGTGCCAGAAATGAATTTGAAGGAAATAATTAAAGATCGTCAGTGTGACTCAGATTTGGACTGCATTTATGGCACAGACTGTAGAACACTATGTGACCAAAGCAAAATGAGATGTACCACAGAAGTAATTCAGCCAAACTTGGCAAAAGCCTGTCAGCTACTTAAAGACTATCTGCTTCGTGGTGCTCCTTCTGATATCCATGAAGAATTAGAAAAACAACTGTACTTATGTATTGCCCTTAAAGTCACAGCAAATCAGATGGAAATGGAGCATTCTTTAATACTCAATAACTTAAAAACTTTACTGTGGAAGAAAATTTCTCATACAAATGATTCTTAGCTTCTTCACCAGCAAAGGGAGTATTGATGCCTGCCATTAGAGGTGGTCTGCCACATTTGATAAAAACAATCTGCACCTTTTTTAAAAGATATTTCTTTACTCAGATTTTATTAATGGTTCTTTCACTCTTGCCCTTCAGTAAGTACCTTATGACAGGGCTTCTCAAAGAATGAACATGCCACTGAATGATGGGGCAGAGGCCAGAAGTACTTCTGGTGTTCAGTGCTGTGTTATGGAAACAAAAACTCTGCATGCTTGACCGTTCTGTGCACTTTGTCAGATCTTGAACAGGATGAAAGTACTCAGTGTGCCACCACATCAAGAGATGGAACATCTTACAATTCTGTGAAAATCACTGCTCACTTGTGAAATACCTGCAAAGGATTTTTATCCCGAGTAGTTTTCTGAAGAATCACCACTACTGCAAATAATGTGTTCAAGTCCAAGCTGCTGTTATGAATAAACTGAATCGTGAGATTGAAGTTTACTAGTATCTTGGCATGGCAGAATTTGCACATTAATAATTTTTTAACTGTGGAAAATTAGAATTTTATTCTAGAATGGACAGGTTGTAATATAAGACTTAAATCAGATTCTGTTTACACATTTGTTACCTCATGCTTACATCCTGAATGTTTAAGTAGTTCAACACTTCTTAATTAAGTCATTGTATGGTGAACCAGGGTGAGGGCCAAGAATTTTAGAATGTTATTTCTTAAAATCATCTATGTGGTCTAGCAGCAATACCAGCATCCGTTTCAAAACCTGTAAATTGTTGTATTTCAGTTGAAATCTTTAACCCAAATTAAGGTGTAGCAAATTTTGAAAAGTAAGGAGTTTGTGGACTAAGCTATTGTATGAAAACTGAAGTTAATTAATTTTCAAAAATACTGATAGCAGAAGTGTGCTACCAATTAAAAAAAGGAAGCTTGCACAGGGTGGGAATCTGTTGTGTAATTTGAGAAACAAGTTAATAGTTGTGCATAGTCTTAACTCTTTACTGTCCCTCCAAATTTAGCTAGACTTTTACTTACTTCTTGCAATAGATTAAGATTTATGTGAGAGCTAGACCTGAACTGCTGGACAGAAGCTGGATTGTTCAGGCCCATGGAATATTGCTTAAATTGGAGCCTATGAGATAGTAAATGGTAGGAAAGAGCTGGAAAGTAAGTGAGCTGCAGTGTGTTACTGTTATCCTTTTTTTTCTGGTAGCATCTATGAGTCATTGTTAAGTCTCGAGTAAATAAACGTCATCTGATCCTGGCACTCCACATGGCATGACCACTCTACCACCTTTATTATCCCCTTGTTGCTCTTCAGATTTACATCTATGTTCATAATCTTGCAGAATTGGACATCCATAAAACACCTTGATACTGTGCTCAGTTCTTATCTGTTAATGTTTAATTTATAGATGCTTTAGGTATAAAGTTGCTCAATCCTTATGATTTTAAAGCCGGTCATCCATATTACTTCTGAATCCTGGCCCCTTAATTCATTCTCAGCTTTATTTAAATATCTGAAAGGTTAATTGCTTTAGGTATCCTGTCTTAAATGCAATCTTTGAATGATTAAACTGAAGTACTGGGCCACAATAAAGTCACGTCTTCATACCCTATGTGATAATATGCAGCTTGGGTTAAGAGAGTACTGTTTTGTGAACAGCAGCTTTTTAATTTAAGAAATACTGTGCTCATGCTAATTCTTCTCTCAAACTTGCTACTGTGCTCCAACCACAAACTAATAACTATTTGTAACCAGCAATGCACTCAAGTGTAAAGTGGTCATGTTCTTGGTGAAAAAAATCTGAGTGATGGCTAAGAGGTTTTGGGCAGAGAAGATTCCTGCTGTTAACAACTGGAAAACATGTTTAATGTGATTTGTTGTACAGAACCTTCATATTTATTGCTGTTGCATCAAGTTGAAGCTTTGGTTGGAACAAAACACTTGTTTACAATAAATCACAGGCCTCCTTTTCTCTTTCAAGAGCAGTATTTACACCAACAATCAGTATCTTAAAGCAAAACATTCCTCAGGTAGCCTACTCGACCCATGTTTTAACTGTGCAAACAACTTCAGTAAGTCTAATGGGAAACAAAGCACTTATAAAACTGAGATAGTAGGACCTGGGGGTTCTTGGGTTGGGAGTGCTCCTTGGAGGGGCTGTCTCGAGTTGTGTTACTGTGCCAGGATAAATTGCCTTGTGGAATGTGATGTCTTGGACTCTGCTCAGGGAAACCTAGTGTGGCTGTGTCTTTTGGGGGGGGGGAGGCAAGTGGAGCACCCATGGGCTCAGTGGAGCTGCTCCCAGGGAAGGAGGGCCTTTGGTCCCAGCAGTGACAGTCTCTGGTGTCGTGGCTGCAATGGAGTCTGGGAAGTTTCCTTATCAAGGCCTTGTAACAAAGCACGTATGTGCAACTCAGAAGTGAATTCTCTTATCAATCACTTAATAATGTTAAGTATTCAGCTTAAGACAGTACCTGTTTCAGTAGCAGCCAGAACGGGGAGGTGAGTGTGTGAAGTGCCTGAAAGCTTAAGGTTACCTGTGGGCAGAGGTTTTAGAGCCTATTTTGACTACTCTTGTTCTTTTCCTAAGCTACATCCAGACTGCCACCTAACGTTATGCTGAAAGAAAAACTGTGAAGGACATGTAAAGCCCTTTTTAAAATGTTAAAATCTTTTTCTAGTTAGAAGCAGCAAACTCTTATACCTAGTCTTTGATACTCACCATGCCAAAGATTAATAAAATTGATTTCCCCTTCTTATAGGAGTAATTCTAATGCAGCAACCTTGGTCTTTGAAGTCTTATGACATCTCTTCGCAGTGAAAATTCAATTCACGCAGTACTTTGAGAGGGGAAAAAAACCCTTTCAGGTACAAAATATCTAGATGATAAAAAATATTGTCTCTTTTTATAAACTATATAAATAAGCCAGTCTTACACTGTTGCTTCTTTGATAAATTTATTCCCGCTTTTTCCAAAGCTTCGCAGAAAACTGTGGAAGTTGTCTTAACTATCAGTTCTGCGCTCCTGGGCCCGGAGGAAGCTGGCCTTCTTCTGAGCAACACGGTCTTTCTTCTGGGCGAGGGACATCTTGGGACAGTTCCATCTACAATGTAAGCACAGGGTACGATATAGGCAAGGCAGAAATAAGCAAAAAGGTGGCCAAGAAGCCTGTAGTGCACCACAACTGTGATTAAGAGTGTGGCGGAAAAATGTACGTATGCCCACTTCTGTAACATGTTTTATTTTCTTGCAATGACTTAAGGCTGTAGTTGGGGCACCACGAAAAGTTGGACAGTTTGATTTCTCAAGAGGTAAACGCTGTACTCTTTTGTATAGACATTATCAGCCCAATGCAATAGCTGTGCCTTGATTTCTTTTCTCCCACACCCCTGAACAATGAAAATAGTTTAGTACTGACAAAGTAGTGCTCTCAGCTGAAGAGAAGCAGCTTTCCCACTGAAAACACTAAGACCTGAAGATACACACCTCAGACAGAGTTCCAGCTATTCAGGCCACATGCATGCTTCACTTGGAATTTTTTTGCTCTTGAATTTCAGATTCCTACTGCTTAAGTTAACTCCTAAGTTATACAGAACTGCTTTTATCTTAATCTGATCTACAGTGTGAATTTTGACACAACTGCTATGTGAATTGCATTACTTGTTTTACTGTAACTAAAATATCCTCAACTGAGAAGTCACGTGGATGTTAAAGAGAATGAGTTTTACCTCTTTTTCTTGACTTCTCTCTTGGGTTTCTTTTCATGGACTGGATTATCCCGTATAGCAGCATGGGCTTTTTTATACATTTCTTCCATCTTAAAAAGAAAAAAAAAAAAAAAAATTAAAATTGAAAGTCACCAAAATGGTCCAGCTGTTGGATATCAAAAATCCAAGATATCCCTAGCTGAGCATGCACTAGAAACCAGTTTCATCACAATACAGCTTGTAATTTGGCACCGTTACCTTTAAAACACTTCCTTCATACAGAAAAGAACTGCCACAGCATTAAGAAATTCCTGCTGTCACTATGTTAAATTTAAATCTCCAAACCCAAACTCAGGACATTTAACAGAGAAAGTAATTTTATCCTTATTTTACAGTTAGTTACTCTAGGGCCTTAGTTCCCTACAGAACTAAGAAGTCTCATAACTACAGGCTGGCATCTTGCAGTTGCTGAAGCCTACTTTCAGTGCTGCAGCTTCCCCAGGTTTCAATTAAAAGGCAAGCCAGAAAGTTATTCTACCTAGAATAAAATGCTTCGTGTTTACTTTATAAAAAAATACTTCACACAAACTCTGGCACCAGACATGTAATCTTATCACTTTTCAGACCCTACTGCAGTACTCACTACAAAGCTGCTTAATAAAAGGCAGAAGTTGTGAAGCTGTAGCTGCTTTTACAAGTCTTGCAAGAACCATGGTAGTGCCTGCGTTGTCCCCAGGGATGCAGTAATGCTGCTCTGTCCCAAAGACAACTCTGGCTCCATAATGGCACAAATTTTAAGAATACCTTTGCTGGTGGTTAATTAAGACCACTAGATCTCAGCTGTGAAAAACTTTCTAGGAACATATGTTTTAAAGCTCCAGGACCACTTACTAGGAAAACCAAGCAAGAATATTACAGGCAGCAGGACAAGCATCTGAAAGGAGCTTAATACTTGGAACAAGTGGAAGAAGCACGTCTGTATTCTTACATATCTTCCAGTGTTTTGCACAAAACACTAAAATTTAAAGCAGTACTAAATAAAATGTATTAGACTCTGTAGATTCATGAAATGCTAGCTCCTACAATACAGCTAGCTTGGGCTATTCTGTGTTCACCTGGAACACAGAACTACTTATAGGGTCACACAAATCCTAACACAGATTTGACATGGAACCACATGCTCACAGGTGCAATTGCTACAGCTGCAGAAATGACAGGCTGTGGTGCAGGATAAGGATTGAGTGGATAGCATGTACAGAAACTTCCAAGTTAATTCCTGTATTGGGGATGAGGGGAAGTGGTCCAGCACAGAATGCAATCCTGTAAGCTTCGATTTAAAGACAGAATGTTAAGCTTCACAGCAGGAAAAATGGTCCCACTTTTGAAAGTTCAATGATATACTACAGAGCCCTTAATGAAGGAAAAAAGTATTTTCTTTCCACAGATAACATACAGCATGAATCACATAATTTTACATACCAAACTTAGTTGCATTACTACAGAAGGCCCTACACAAGACTTACTAGCATGTCTATTAATGCACAAGATCAGCTAGGTAAATCTTACCCCATCAGGTGTTACATTGTTCTTTATGTACTGGGAGAACTGTTTATTGTAAGCGTCTTCGTCCTCCTCCATCAGGTAACGCATATAATCTGCAACATTCTGGCCCATGATGTGCTTGCGGTGAACCTCCGCATTGAATTCTTTGCTTTCCGAGTCATAGCCAGGGAAACGTTTGGTACTGTGGAACAGCAGTTACAGTCAA